AGGTATTTGAGATAAGCGGTAGTCTAATTTCCCTCACTAAATGGTAACACAACAAGAAATTAGTCATCCATCTGTGATTTTCCTGTGCTATTTTTCCCATTCTCACAAAATTTTGTAACAGTGAGGTGTGTCTGCAGGCTGTGTGGGTTTCCGTGTGGGTGGTGTTGAGCAGTCTTGTGGACAAGAAGAGGAAAACATCATAGTCGTATTTTAAGATCTCTCTCTTCCTCACCCTCCTGTTTGGGCTTCGAGATAGGGCAGCAGGACAGTCACAGCAAGTAAACCCGCTTGAAGATATCTGGGAAGCCAACACTGTAGCCATCTTGACTGCAGGGAAGGTATTTATATTTCAGCTCCTTTGCTTGCTGAAGGTAATAGCCCATTCTTACATGAGAGGAAGCCACTCATGTCCCCTCAATATGGTACAAACAGGCCAAAGAGGAAAATATCCTCAAAATAGGATAGAAGGATCACAGTGACAATTATGACCTGCACAGTAGAACTTACCGTCTGGTAACACCTCCAGATAAGCAGATGAATTTAAGACCTAATTGAATTGCATTTTGCTGTCTGGCATGCTGGGACATTCTTGCATGAGTGCAGCCACAGCAGTACCATCCGTCCCACGAGCAGTATTTGGGTGGCTGGGGAATGCTCTTCAGGTCGGTCAGGCTGCAGCTCTTTACCGTGATCACACATTGCGTTATGTCAGGAATTTGGGAATCTGCGGTCACTTTTTACCTGACTGTTGATTTGTGTGATTCTATGCTGCTCTACTTGTGGGTTTTACAGAGGGGTCATTGTATATGTAATTCATCAGTCTGACGGCTTTTCTTTATCCTGGTGAGAGCTGTGTGCTGAAGAACTAGGTCAAGCCCCTGCAGTGGGAATTGCCCACCAATTCGCTTGTAAAAAGGCTTAAGTGTTGATTTTGTTTCAGTAGAGCTATACCTTTCTGTTTATAAACACATTGTTTCCAAATTGCTCGGCCAAATCATGTCTGTTATAGCTGAGTCTTTTTAAAGTAGCAAGTTTTATCATTATAAAAGCTCGCAGATTCAAATGGTTAAAAAATGTCCTATTCTTACATTACCACGAGGTGTTTCTGCATACCTAATTTAGGCTTTGTCTCTGTCTTTGCTTGACTTGTCTCACTAAACTACATACACTTCCCCCTGTCTAGTAGCATTTATTCCATAAAAATTGAGGTCATTTGTTTGCTGGAATAGTGAGGAAAAAAACTGGATGAGAGTAGTTTGTGTATAGAACACAGAAACTAGTCTATAAAGGTCTATAATGAAATAATTTTTGTGCCTTAATTAGTCCTGCCTTACTATTGTTAGCATTTGTATTATATTTCTAATGTGTGTTGAGAAGGAGAGGCTGCCATGCATGGAACCTGTTTCAGCAACACTACCTACGAGCACATAAGGCAGCTGTCTAGCCTTCTGCTTCAAAAACTATCGGCTATGTTTTGAAGCAACTTTTAGAATACCAAAAAGATACTTACTTGTCTAATATTTTACTCTTTTGGCATCAGCCATAAGCATCCGGAGGAAGTAATATGAATAACAACTTTACGTAACTTCACTCTTCCACTTCAGCTGGGATTTTGTTTTGTTTTGTTTTAATTCACCAAGAGGTCACGATAAAAAGCTTTGCTTTTGTTCTGAGTGTGTTCTTGGGCAGTTACTCTGAGCTATTAAATTTATGAACCAAGTCTCCACCATGTCTCTGCGGATGCTTGTCGTGATGTATCAGGCATTTAAAAATGTTTTGGTACTTGCAGGGTCACGTGACAGGATTTTAGCCCTTCTGTAAGTTTCAGATGCACCTGAGCCCATCTCCAGCTTGCTTACTTTTTTTTCCCCAAGCTACATGGTAATGTTTGAGACACTTCCACTTCATGTTCCTCACGCTCCTTCAGGCACGTAACTCCAAGGGGCTTGCCTGGTCCATGACAGGTACAAGCCCCAAAGACTTCATATGTTATTTTAGTTCGCTTCTCCATGAAGTAGGTAGAAGGGTACCTTCCAACCTCAAAGGTGGCCTGGCAGAGTCAGGAAAATCCTGTGCATATTAGGCTGCCTGTAAGGATGCATTATGTTTTCCTGCCAGTCTGATGCCACAGGAATAGGCTGTTCTTATATCTCACTTTGCCTTGTGCTATTCCTACACCTCCTTTTGATCATCACCATACCCATCCTCTTGCCTGTGCAAGACTATCAGGGTGACACATGGTGAATCATTTTAATTGCTTTGGACGTTGTTTACCTGGGGAGATGGTACATGTCAAATAGATTGCATTCTGACATCAGTGTTTTCAACACAATCGACAATCCCGTGAGGCCACATGTGTATAATCAGTCTGTATTCTGTCTCTTTCTGTCTACGGGGGTGGGCTCCTTTGGTGGGGTTTGTCTACCCACTGTGCTGTCTGTGATCTGAGGGAGGTGAGAATCTGGTCTTTGATCTCCCAATGGAGATCTCCAGAAGTTAAACAGGGATAAGACCAAAGTAGATACTTCGGTCTGCCTTCTTACAAATACGTACTTCTTTTCTGTGCTAAACTGTTACATTCATTGCCAAGTTTTATAGGAGTTCAACAGGGAATGTTTTATTTGTCCATTTAGACAGATTTCACTGTAGAGAATTTTTCTTTTTCATTCCTCCTGCAGGTTTCTTCTTCAGCTGTTTTTCCAGGATCTCACTCAGTGAATGCTGAACAGGAATAGCATTGCTAAGTCATTACTGTTGCCAAGTTATTACAGTTTTACAGCTGTGTTAGTTAACATGGCCCATGTTGTCCGATCACTTTTTAAACCGAAGATCCCACTGAAGTTAGTGTGAACTTTTACCTCAGTTTCAATGTCAGGATGTGGCTCCTTGTACAGGGTAGTCCTCCCTGCCTAGTTACCAATTGTAAGCTGCTCTCCTCCCTTTCCTCGAAGATAAACCTCCTTATCTGGTTCCTTTTTCTTGACAATAATATTGTAGAGAGAAGAAAAATAATAAAAGTAGGTCTTGGACAAAAATGTTGGCTATTAATTATCATTATTGTGCAGTTACATTCTTGTGTAATTCTTGTCCCCTTGGAGCCTTATTGTACAGATATGTGAGGCTAAGTATTTCCTCCTCCATAAAACAGATGTTACAGGTTTTCATCTCATTCCCCTGCATAAAGTTGTCACTAGAAATGAAATATTAACAAAACAAAACTCCACCTCTTCCTGAATTCCCAGAATTTCTCTACAAAGGTAGAATATTGCTAACAGTTGGACAGACAGAATTCTCTGCAAGTTCCAAGCCACCTTAAGGAAAAAGTAGAGATGGTTTACAGAGGTCACATTCACATACTGCTTTATGGGTTTGTGCATTTATGAGCTACATAACTGCACTGTCATTAACTTACCATGATTTATTTGTTGGACACTACATTCTCATGCATATTCTAGTTCATAAACTTTTTAGGAAAAATGGAAATGGTGCGCATCAGTTTAGTAAAAGATCCTAAAGCTTATCTTGTTTACATTATAAACTGAAGTGAAAGGAGAAACATCCTATAGTGAAATACTGTCTGAGGTACTCTTCTAGCTTCAGTGTTTCAAAGTACAGAAATGATAGGAATAGAAAACCTCCTGAACTGACTACTTTTATTTAAAATTGAAGTTAGACTTCATTCTAATCAACTTAAAACATGACTTGAAGATATATAAGCTAGCAGCTTTGGCATGCCCACTTACTTTCTCAAGTTTATCTTGGGAATCAGAGATCACAAATGAACTTTTTAAATTCATTTCTGGAAATCTGGACACTTTTTAAAAGCATGATTCTCAGGGGGCCTCAGTTTACCCTTATTGGGGCAATAAATATGTGTAATTATTCTAAATAAGGAGGTCAGAATTTGACCAAAGATATAGTTCAAGCTGAAGCAATACCTGAATCTGACTAATTTAAATGGTTAAGAATTTAATATTTTAATATTTCAAACTCCTAAATAAACTAAACATAAGTTCTTTAATTTTGTGATACCCTGTAAGAATATGCAATATTACATTCAAGACTTTTTTTTTAATTATACAAGGTAAAACTGTTCAGTGCTCTTTGTTGATTATATTGAAGCTGATTTCATATTTCTTGTTGCTATAATGGAAATTGGATAGCTTCCTCAAAGTAATTTTTTAAAAAAATTATGTTCCAAGGTGACTCATAAAGTAAAGGCGGGGGGGTCACTATTCTAAGTACAGAGCTGTTATTTGAAGGTTTTATGATTGTGTTGTCCATTAATCAGATATAAAATTAAAGCCCCAAAGTGTCAGAAGCAGTCTGTGATTCTGTCTGTGACTGCAAAGGCAGATCCTTGCACTGAGTTCGGAAGGAAGGCTCGCAAGTCAAGGGTATGTTCAAAACACTCAAAGCTCCTGTGCCTGGTCAGGGTTGATGGCAAGAGAGAGGTGGCTCTGAAGGGTTTTGAAAAGCCGAGCCAGGCACGCAGAGGAAGCTGCACAGGGCTGGTTCTTACAATACAGCGAGCATAAGGCTGCCTGCTATATTTAGTCCCCCTTCCCCCCCCTCCCTTTCCCTCCCCTCCTCCTTCGGTGCCTATATTTGAATTTGAGTTGTAGAGTAAGTTGTCATTCATTTAATATAACTTTTTTTTTCTTTTTTCTTATGGCATCCTAACTTAACAAGATAAATCACTTTTCATATAGCACCGTAGTTAAATATAGCTATGCTTAAGTAGTGCTGACTTACCTCTTCTTTTCCAAATGATTCAGCCTATATATGGAGTAATGTGATTAATAATTATTGTTCACATTTTTTCTCGCACCTGAATATAACATTATCCTGAAGCAAGTTATTATAAATAACCTATTTTTATTATTACAAATAAATGCTTTGTCTTGACATCTGGCTCTTTGGCTTAGTCTTGCTTCTATAGAATAATAGAGGATGAAAATAACACTGAATGTTACATTTGTTTAATGATGTATTTTCAGGGTTTGCCAGGGCTGGAGGGTCCCCAAGGTCCACCTGGTAAAGAAGGTCAAAGGGTGAGTAAACTTGGTGAACAACTGGTGAGTGTGCTAACTGACCTTGATGTGTGACTTCTTTCTAAGCACCAATAAAAAATGGAAAGGTGGCAGCTGAGTATGAAGCATGCTGACAACAAACTGAGCTTTGACATTTGAGGTTTCTCTTCAGTTGAAGGAGATTTAACAATTTCAACCATGTAAAGTGTTTTAATGACTGGCAGCACAGATGTAGATATTGTCATTTGTGCAACATGATTCTGCTGTAATTTTAAGTGAAAGAATATTAAAATTGCTCAGAAGGTTTTGTTTTATTGCAGGGATAGGCCATACCTTACTACATCTAAGATATATAAAAATATCAATTTAGGGTCATTATCTAAAATATTAACAGAAACCAGTACTATTGACCCAAGTTTTGTTGTAGATGCCATTATGCAAGTGTCAGAGCCTAACATATATATACAAAGAAGAGAGATACGGTGAATGGCAGGGGGCAAGGGAGGAAAGAGAAGTTATGCCCAAGACATGAAATAAACCTTTGGTTATTCAGAATTTTAATATAATGAACTAACTGACTGACTGGTTTCTCTGTGTTACATTTTTGTTTTCCCTGACTTATTGAATTTGGTAGTTCAGTAGAAGAGATAACAAATATTTATGATTGTGGTATCACAAGAAATAATTCAGTTTTGAGAGTTTATAACCTAGTCTGCTTCCAAAAGTTTGGGAAGATATTCAGACTCAAACATTTCAATATTTTTGTGAATTAAATTGTGCCTAGTTTGTGATTTTGAAGTTGGGTTTCTCAGTAATTCTTGGTTTGTTTAGGCATCTTGATATTTATTATCTCAGTTAAATTCTCTGAAGTGGAAGGATTTAGTATTACTCATCATTGATCTTAGTCAACTACAGTGAATTATTAAAAGCCAGTTTAATAATTCCAGTAATAGTAATAATAATAACAGAAGACCAGTTCTTGAATAAAATGAGTAATGGCGTGTAGGCCCCAAAGCTAAGTTTTATATTAAGTTATAAAAATAGTACTAAATTTCACTTAAGTTGAACATGAGAATTTGAAAGCTGAGGTTATTAAAGTTTCACAGTAAAGGTTGGGAACCCATTTGGAAAAAGTCAATGTAGTAAGGTAGAATCAAAAGTTATGTGGTGAATATGCTATTAAAGCATATTCAATAGCTTATTAACATGCTATTAAGAATTTTATAATTACTATGACTCTTACTGTTATGCAATTAAATATCCAGGATACTGAAAAGCTATGGATACCCAGTTTTAGCATATTTTAGAGTGTTTTTCTGTGGAGTATTGAATCTGCAGAAACATACCGTTTATTAGTTCTCCTTTAGGAACAGTTATAAATATGGCTGTGTTTTAGAGACATCACTCTTTGAACTTATTAATTTTTTGAGGAAAAGATTCAGAGTTAACACGTATTATAGGTGGATAAGTGAACTACGAAATACTTTTTTTTTTTTTTCCATTTTGCAGTGGGAATTAGGGGATTGATACATTCATCATGGACGTTTCCTATTCACACATAAAATTGAACTGCTGTCTCACTCTAATATCTATAAATATCCAATATCTATAAAAACAGGAGCGCTGATTGTTTTATAATCTCAGCTCAAGTTGCCTTGAGCCAAACAATGGGAACAGCAGACTGTAAAGCCTCAGCATCTGTCTTTATCTTTCTACCAGTGAGATGCTCACAACAATACTCTTTCTGCTGGCCACCCCCGCCCAAGCATTAATAACATAGTTTGCAATCTTAATTCAACTCCCATGTGCATTTGCATTTCCAATACATTTAATTACACAATAACATACTGTTTGTAACAAGATCTCTGCTCTGTTTAATGACAAACAGGACAGTGCATGGCTATTATGGCTATTAATGGCTATTAAATATGTCTTTTTATTTAATTATGGATGTCGTTTTCCTCTGTTCTACTTCCAGCAGATCCTCCAAGTCTTTCACATTATGTGAAGTTATTGGTTTTGTCATGGACTGTCTTTTGAAGATTAAAGCATAATATTGAGTGTGTAACTGACTGATGATTTTTCTTCAACATATTGTTTAGACCTAAAAGTGATATCGTGCCCACTTTGCAGGCTGGAACTGTTACTAGGGAACTGTATTAGGGAAAAAAACCACAACATTCCAAAACATTTGGAAAGTATCTATTCAATTTGGATGCCACACTTTGAGAACCAGAATTTTTTTAAACTTTCCATTTGCACTGTACCTGTTATATTCAAAGTTTTCACTCCCAGTTACCTCAGCAGCATTTTTAAGCGTTCAACTCCTTTCAAAAATTAGCCTTAGATTAATAAGGAGTTGAGAGGAGAATCGTTAAGTGTGTAAGTTAGAGACCTCTCCACACATTAAAGCAAGATATAAGGAACTGAGGAAAATTAACAGTGTTAATGGTGGTATGGTCAAAAACTCAAAGAAACATGTAGAAGGCTCATGTTAGAGCTAGTGGCTTAGGTAGATGACAATACAAAATGAGATAGAAAGGGAAGAAAAAAAGCCATGCCAGTGGATTTCTTCCCTTTTTGAAGTGGCCTGAGCCATGCCTTTTCACTTTCAGAGTGTTTTAAGTGGGATTTTATTATATCATCCACGGTCAGAGTTTTATGTTAGAACTACTAAGAAATACCAAAGGTGGGACCCTGTCCCACCCGTCTCCCTGCGTTCACTATAGAGGGAACTAGGACAAATGTACCCCTATTAAGAGGAATAAGTCTGGGTAGTAGTATGTATTTCACCTCACAGGAATAATCTGCATTGAAAATTACATAGTAAAAATACATACAATAATTATTATGGAAATAGAATAAGTATAATATATTATTGTATAATTATAATAAACATGAAGATTAACTGAACTGTAGATTTTTAGTTCAAAGTTATGCCAACCTTAAAATACTTATAAACATATATGTGAAGTTGGCTTACAAGCGCAAATTTACAACATCACTGAATTAGACGATGACTGCAGGTTATTTATTTCAAGAGCAAAGGGGAATCAATACATTATTTCAAATAAAGTGGTAACAGCATTTGTCCAGTGGATACCCTGTAGATAGAGTTACGTGGTATCATTTGAGCCAACACATGATTATTAAATTAATAAAATATTAATTATTAAAATAGTTAAAATAATAAATATGTCACCTTCTGTGGCATGGTGATCCGATGTATTACTACTATATGATCATACTGGGATATGATCGTGCTCCACGTGAAAGAGCAGGTTAGGTTCTTACACATTTAAATGATGGTACGCAAATAAGTCAGCCATGGAACATGATGACAGAAGAGTGTGAAATGTCTTCTGTCCGAGTTGGTCTCCCTGGATGCTTTCCAGATATCCCAAAGGACAAAAGAGTTTGCAGAAAACAGTGTATAATAATGTGATACTTTTACAGAAATGTGCTGCAGGGAGATCATTCAGAATGAGAGAGGTGAAACCCTGAAAGCTCTTTGACTAGATCTGTGCAGCATTAAAGGATCCTACATCAGGATGCATGCTCTATTTTTTGGCTTTGCTTAAGAGAAAATTCCAAACTCGCTAAAAATTTGAAGTAGTGGAGTCAAGGAGAAGAACTAGTGCAATGATAAATAAAAATTGGATTCTTATGCATGTTACTTCTTTCATATTGGTGTAGTAGCAAAATGCATAAATATTTCTTTTCTGAATAAACAAACAAATTAACAGTCTAGCATTTAGCAAGTGTGTTAGTTATGTTAATATGAGTAAACTCATTAGCTTCCATTCTTTCTCCACTTATTGTGGCACCTTTTCCTTTAATCTCCTTTGTTATGTCTTCTAATTCTGCTTATGGCTTTTGCAGGAGAAGAGAGCAACTTTCACGAGCAGTGAGGTAGTACAAATAATGATCCTCAGACATACATAGCTTGTTTCTTTTGCAGAGCAATAAAAAAGGAGGAACAGAGTTGTGAGCGAAAGTGAAGCAATTGGCTTTCTGTTTACTACCATGCTTCTCTATCTACACAAAAGAAACTATTTAGCATTTGTTGCAGCTCTACCAAAAAAAAAAAAGATATTCAGGGATTCATCATAGATGGTGCGTCCTTATTTAGGGTGTTACTTGGAAGAGGAAAGTAATGGTTATGGCAGAAGAAATAGTGGCTACGTGATAATCTGGCCATGTCCAAAGACCACACAGTGAACTAATTTCTGATTCTTCAACCAACCTGAGACATATACAGTATCCATTTAAAGGTCTTTTTTGTTGTGACAATCTCTTGAGTGAACTTAGTTAAATTTTATATGAGCATGTACTGCCCTTAAGTTTCTCCTTTTGTCATTGTACCCGCTTCCACTCACGTGTATTAGCCAGCATTGTGCTTTCCTGTGGGTGCAAGGAGTCCTCAAACCTTTGCTGTTCTTATAAAAAGACCAGTGTTTCTCCTTGCTCTATCACTGATGACTACTATAATTTTTTAATTTTGTTATCTTTAGTGAAGTGTTTTATGTTAGACATTAGCCCCTGCTGAGTGAGAGTCTTTGTTTTTAATTCTGGTCACTGGGAGAAGTGGGGCCAGTAGCGACAGCTACTCATTCCCTTTTCCTCATTCCTGCATGAGAGATGCTAGACCATTCTGGGGGTATTACCTTCATACATATTTTTTCAGTGTCCCTCTTGTTGGCTTCAGGCATTCAGAGCAGCATGTTACTGCTGCAGCAATTTGATACTATTACACCAGTGCTCAGAATGACATCAGGAGCTTCAGAAGGTAATTAGATGTTGCTCAGAAAAGTCCCTGGTCCAGTATTACTGACCAACAAAAAATAGAAAGATTGGGTGCTAGCCTAGCATCGTATGGAATTTAAACTACAGTGGACAGCTACGCCATCTTTCTGGCTTCCTGTGTTATGCAGCACTTTATTATTTTTCTCAACATTCCTGCACTGTAGTTAAGTATATCTTTCACAGAAGTACAGTTTCCACCTGAAAGACATCAACAA